GCTGACTACAGGAAGCCCGAGGCAGAGTTGCTCTGCCCCAGGCTTCCTGGAATCAGCGCTCATCAGTTTCAGCAGCAGCTGACTTGGGGAAGCTTGGGGTTCTTAAGTTGAATCTGTATGTAAGTCAGAGCTGGAGGTCAGTTTCAGCAGCGGCTGAATCTGGACGCCAGTTCCGACTTACATACAGATTCAACTTAAGAACAAACCTACAGTCCCTATCTTGTACGTAACCCGGGGACTGCCTGTATATGAGAACTAGCTATGCTTTTTCTTTGAATTTTATAGTAACTTAATTTGACCTGTGTGTTTTCACTTGCAACCACTTAAATCCTACTGTTTGTACTTAATAAAAACACATTTGTTTACTATCAAGCCCAGTGTAAATAATTGTTACCTGGCCCTGTGAAGGTTGGGGTGTGGGGGAGAGGAGACAATCAGTGTGCATATTCTCTCTTTCATTGATAAAGAGGGCAAACATCCTCAAGAGCTTTCTTCGAGTAAAATTCTCACACAAAGAGATGTTTTTTGTTTTTTCCCTCTTGGGGGTTGGTTTCCTGGGTGCTGTGCTCAAAAACTGCATTCTCCTAAAGCTGAAGTGGTTCATTGTCTGCATTGCTCTTTGGAAGGGGGAGGAGAGTGGCAGTTACCTCAACTCTGTGCCTTGTCTGGGGGAAAACCAGAAAATCTTGTCAAGCAGGACAGGATGGTGCGGAGCCCAAGAGAGCAAGAAGGCAAGTGTTAGTGGAATAATCAGCACACTGGGGAACAACTCCAAGAGGTCTTCAGTGACAGCACCCTGTCACAACAGGCTTTATTCAAGATGGTTTCTGTCAGTCATTCTTCTTCCCACCAATGGCTAGTTTTCCCTCACAGCATCAACTTTCTGAACAAGTATAACATGCTGGATTCCCTTGTCATCTTAGGTGAAAGATCTCTGTGTAAGCAGGTTGCTCACCTAAATTCTGTTTCCAGAGACTCCAACTCCTTGGTTGAAGGACCCAACCTATCTTTTTCAGCTCATGAGAACTGTTTCTGTGTGTATGTTTAGTGATGGGTGCCAAAGATGGGCTTCCCATCCCTTTGGGTCATTTCAGTGAAAATGGATCTTCCATTGTATTTGATTCCACCATGTTTACTTGGTGTTAACATTTCTGCCTGTCTGGGCAGATTATACAGCCTAATATTAATGAATATCCATAACTATTACAGTGTTGAATCATATATTTCACAATTAACAATGTGCCATACATTTTCAGAAAAGACCTTACTTGATAGACTTTTATAATACAGTAATATTGTATGCAATCAGTTCAGTTTCTTATCACTTGAAGTTCAGCCATCATCTCTCTTCATAGTTCAGATAAAGTTCCTCTTCTCTGTTGGGAGTACACCAAGCTGTCTCTCCCCCCAACTTCTTAGTGTGACAGCTTTGTTTATCTGGTATGCGATTGTGCCTTTATTGTCTTTGCCTGACAACTAAGCTGGAACAGACCTGCTGACCCCCAACCATCTGATCTTCCATGGTTGTTTATTGCACATGTAAATTGCAATCCCACTGTCTCTGGTCAACCCTTCTTCATCTGTATTCAAAACCTGAGCAGACCTAGTCATAATTCCAGCATAACCAATGTTGCCAACCCTCACTACTGGAAAAATCATGTGTCAGACCCACAAAAAACCATAAGATAAAATAATGAAAGATATTTTTAAAGACAATGAAATACAGGTTTTCTATTTCTCTTTTGTTTCTGACCCTTTAAAGTGTTCTAAGGTCACACTTCTGGCTGACAGTGGGAGCCCCACCCACTGGAATCTGACAGCAAGAGCCTCAGCTGATTCCATCTGACAGCAGGCACTTCTTCTTGTGGGGGCCTTGTGAGGAGGGGCTCCCACTGTCAGCCCTGGGTGAACTGACAGAAGGCACAGCAGGCTGGCAGCAATTTCTAAGTTAAATTATTAATGCTGATTCATGACCTTAGGACAGAACTGTTAAATATCAGGATTATTTTCTCCAGCTATGGCCAAGTTCCTCACCCCCCAAAAATCGCCCCTAACATCTGAGAGGCCTATCGTAAGATCATAAGGCTTAATTAATTTAATTAAAATATATCTCTTGAAATTAATTTGAGAGAGTTGGCATGTCTGATTCTCATCTCATATTTTTTATATATATATATATATAAAGTGGAAACATAGCATACATATATATTACACACTGCTCTGGGCTTCCTGGAATCAGCCGCTGATCAGTTTCAGCAGCAGCTGATTTGGGGACACCTGGGGTGCTGCTGGGTTGGTCCCCGCAGCGCTGAGGTGCGGTGCTGCAGAGACCTACCCAGCAGCGCCCCAGCTGCTCTGTCCCAGGTGTCCAGGTTCAGCTGCTGTTGAAACTGATCAGCAGCTGTTTCCAGGAAGCCCGGGGCAGAGAAACTCTGCCTCGGGCTTCCTGTAGTCAGCCTCTGGTCAGTTTCAGCAGCGACTGAATCTGGCTGCCAGTTCCAACTTAAGTACAAATTCAACTTAAGTACAAACCTACAGTCCCTATCTTGTACGTAACCCGGGGACTGCCTGTAGTCTGGGCAAACCATTCAAGAATACAACAGAAACTCAGTTACAAACACTTCAGGAATGGTGGTTGTTTGTAATTCTGAAATGTTTTTATCTCTGAACAAAACATGGTTGTTCTTTCAAGAGTTTATAAAGGATCATTGATTTTATATAGCTTTGAAATGTCACTATGCGAAAGAAAAATGCTGTTTTCCTTTTTTTTTTTAGTAGGTTATGTTTAACAGTATTGTACTGTATTTGCCTCTTTTTGGTTTCTGCTGCTGTACAATTGCTTAACTTACATTTCCAAATGAGATGTGCAGTTGACAAGTTAGTTCATAATTCTGGTGTTCTACTGTATGTTGGAAACAATCTTGCTAATGCAGAATGTTTAACAGTATGCGTTATTAGAAATTAGATCTGGTTAAGAGTAATCATCCTAATAGTACATAGTTCATTTATTTTTATATACTAAGAAAATTTTGTATTGCTTAACAAAGACTACTGAAGATTCTTCCATTGGAACAAGAGAGAAAAAGCAGCTCTGTATGCAAAAATAAAGTATAATGAACACAAATACAAGCATATGAAAATACCAGGTGCACTTACTTGAAGAGCTCAGCTGGCTTAAAGCAGACTTTCCTCGTCTCGTGGATGGTGAAGAACTTAGATACCCCATATGGCGCTGATAGTCCATCAACTGTTCAGAACGCTTCATGCCAACTGTTGGCTTCACTGCTTCCAGTCTCTTTAGAAGAGCCTGAATTTAAAAAACAATTTTGATTAAAGGCGCTATAAAGAAAATATTCACAAATAATTGATCTTCCTATAAATCATATCACCCCACAACCCAAGTGTGATGTGTAAGTTTACACTCAATACAGTTAATTATCAGTGAGGGGATCCAATGTTATCTACTCTTGGGTCCATTCCCCCCCTTACTATTCTGTTAAGCATTTATTAAATTCAAATAGTACATTTATTTTAAGTTCTTAAATTATGTTTTTCACTGCATACTATTTTGTTTATTCGATTTTCCATAATATAAATTGTGTGTCTATATAGCAATTTAAGTTAATTGTATTTTATTAACAGTATTATACTGTATTTGCTTTTTTTTTGGTCAAAAACAAAAACTAAAGAAATCTATCACTGAATGGGGGAAGTAAAAAGAATGTGGTTGTTTCAAACTAGTTTTCCAGGGAGTGGCACAAGAAGCCATGCAGCAGTCATGGAACGTCAGCTGTGTCAGTCTAAGTTCAATAAGGGTAGTCTACACTACCCTCCTAATTCGAAATAGGAGGGTAATGTAGGCATACTGCAATTGCAAATGAAGCCCGGGATTTGAATTTCCCGGGCTTCATTTGCATAAAGCTGGCCGGTGCATAAAGCTGGCCGGTGCCATTGGAAGCCTAATCCGAACTAGCTACTCCGTGCCGCGTGTAGCCGCGCGGCACGGGGTTCGAACTGCCGGCATTTAAAAATGGCACCGGCCAGCTTTATGCACCGGCCAGCTTTATGCAAATGAAGCCCGGGAAATTCAAATCCCGGGCTTCATTTGCAATTGCGGTATGCCTACATTACCCTCCTATTTCGAATTAGGAGGGTAGTGTAGACATACCCTAAGTCTATGAACATACAGTTTGTATATGGGAACTTGGAAATGTGCATTGAGAAAGTACAAGAGAAAAAGGACAAGTAGTTGTGGCTTATGGGTAGTATGTCACATGTTTGCATCAAGTGCCAGTCTGTTCATCATCAAACACATAGGTAAGCAAAAGTCAAAGGAAGGACTTTGGCTAGAAATAGCTCCTGCTTAGCACCAATTGCAAAACATCATGAAATATTAGACTAGTCTCTAAATGTTAGCTACAACTTAGTACATATGATTTTATCACCATCTCTTACAGAAATACATAATGTTTATCTATTACAGGAATTCTCAAAACATTTAATTAAACAGACTAAACAGGCAAGCTAATCTAATGAACTGATGATATTCTTCTGTTAAAAGGGATATGTGCTGCGAGTCTGTCAAGGCTGATTCCCCACTCTGGCACAATGAATGCAGAAGTGGAGGCCCGCAAAAGTACTCCAAAACCTTATCTTTCCAGGCTTTGGTATAAAACTCCCCCTCCCCATCCTAAAAACCTAGATTTTTGGGGATAAAAATCCACTGCCACCATCAAGTGCTTTTGAACCCACAAACAGGGGTGGATTCTTGAAACCAATCCCAGGATACCCCAAGCTCTTTTCCCCAAAGAGACTGAAAAAGAAAAGAGAAAATACAAATTGCAGTCTATGGCTGCTATCCCCTAGTCAGAGGCACGCAGATCCCACAGACAGGTTTTCCAGGACACAGAACTGAACGAATACCAGGTTAATAAAAAAGAAATAACTTTTATCATCACAACAATACTCCTGTTACAAGCATGACGACTAGATGGAAAAGTCACCAATTATTATACTTATGGGGGACTCCCAGAGGCCAAAACTTAGTTACAAAGGAGAGGAAAACCCATTTCTAAATGCACAGACATCAGATTCCCATTCCCAAACCATAAAACAATAAAACCTAACTGATTTATCTAAACTTCACCCTACTTACAGATAGTGAAGAGTCTTTTCTTGGGGGGGGGAGGGGAGGAGAGAGAGGAGAGAGAGAGAGAGAGAGACATGCCTCAGTATCTGGAGAGAAATTGCTCCAGGACAAAGGAGGGAAAAAACAAAAATTCGTTTGTCCCGGTTTGAAATTCCTACCTGCATTTCTATTGGCTGCCTGCTATCTGGTTAGGTATAGGGACATAGTCCCAGGCTGCTGGCCATCCCTCATGACCCTGACAGAGTCATACAAAGACCTTATGATTGGAATGTAAATTTACATACTGGGAACATCACGTTAACTATAAAGTATAAGGCATACTTGAAATGATGGTTTATCTACAGGATATGCACACACTAAAGAGTTAAAAGAAAGCATCTAGGTTTGTTTTTAACATGTGCATTTGATGCATAAAAATTTGATTACATTTTTATGTATAGATACAGACAGATTTGGAGCACCTATTCCTGAAGGAAAAAAGCCAACAATGTTAAAATATACATTTTCCACAACTAAGAAATTAAAATGAAGCCAGATTAATACAATTGCAAATATTAAGTTTATTATTTATTGAGGATCAGATACAGATTTTAAAGTGGTAGTGGCAGATTCTATACTGCCATAAAAGATCCTACTTTAAGAGATGAGAGGGTAACCTTCATCTCAATCTTTACTCTCTGCTGAGAATTTCATCAAGGGGCATTATCCCACACTATTTGTAGCTGGAGTTTTGTAGTCTGGACAGCAGTCTACTGAATATGTAAATGAACCCACTCCACATTTTAATAGCTATCCTGACATACTGAATGAAGAACTATCAGACTCCTTATATTTTATCATATTTAGTGTAAGCCTTCTAGACCCTTACTAAATAATTTCATACAGTAATTTTGAATTGCTGATCAGAGCCATAGAAACTAAAGGGCAAGGAAGAAGTAAGAATTCAGTGAACACTTTAAGATAGTGTGTTAAAGAAAATATTAACTGAATTTAAGTAACACGCTATCATAAAGTGTTCACAGAATAATTCCATCACTATTCTTACTGCTTCCTTGCCCTTTAGTTTCTATGACTCTGATCCCATACCTTTGAAGTCAAATGGGAGTTTTACTATTCATGTCAATGGTTTAGGATCAAGCCCTACAAAATAAGCTTTTATTGGAATGATTAAGATTTGAGATAAAAAAGAAGTCCTTTACCTTCCTCATTTTAAAATACACCAGCAACACTCTAAAGAACTTGTATTGCAGCTCGCATCATTTTAGCTAAGATGGACTTTAGAAGCTAAATCAATTTATGTCAACAAAATTAGGTAAGTATTCAGCAAATCAGGGCACCACACTGCTTTCTGCTCCTCACTGAAAAAGAATGGGAATGCAGTATATCTGTTACGGTCTCAGCCTATGCCAGTCCAGGAGGCAAGTGACCTGAGAAGATTATAAATCAGAATTTTTTCCTCTCCTTTACCATGTAAAATTAATATTTCAAGTACTGAATTTAACATAAAAGGAAACATACAAGTACAAATTCTGTAACCCCCCAGCATTACTGCATCTTCCTGTTCACCAAGCCTTACATTGATGAGTAAGATTCTTCCCTTTAGAAAGATTAAAGTCTAACGATTTCTGGAGAATTTCTAAAGCATAAACTGTAAAAAGCTGAAGCAAGTACTAGATCACGGACACATGGAAAAAACCAACCAACCAAACATACAAACCAGAAGCAGTATAAAAGATTGGTGCTGTTTAGTGGCTTAAAATGAATGGCATTAATTCAACTTCCAGCACAGTAAGTGAGCACTAAAACTAGTGTAGGTACTTTATTTTTTCAAAAATTCAGTATATGTTTTTCTGAAGCCATTCCAGAGCGGGGGAAGAGAGAACTCGTAAGTAAAATTGAGTATATAGCTCCATACATTTCATTTTAGAGGAAAGGTTAAGCTGCTACTTTCCCTTGTTTTATGTTGCTCTTTGGATCTGCATAGGCTTCAGTTTCACCATCCACTGAACACCAAACAGCTGACCGTTGTGCCTCAACAGCTGTTCAAGTGTATTTATATTATGACTTCTCTAATTTCATTCTTATTAGAACCACACCATTGCTATGCAGAGCAGAGATCTAATACATAACAGTGCATTTGAGGACAGATTCTTTTTGCTCCTTCTGCATGGACTACTTTCTAATTTTCTTCTGTTGTTACAGTGGCATTAATTGGTTCTGTACTTGTCAGTTAGTTGTAAATAACTGACAAACTCTAAAGCTCTTTCATCTAAGACAGATTTTTTTAATGGAACTTTACTCATTTTTGTGAATAGGATCCATGAAAGAAAGCTAAAAAGATAAGCAGCAGCATAAGCGAAAAGGACACAGTTTGAATATCACAAGGAATCATTGTTCAATACCTTCTCTAGCTTCAGTGTATCTAGCCAGCCTGTAATGATTATTATTGTAGCACCTATGAGTCCCGGTCGTGGACCTTATTGTGCTCAGCAGACACTGTACATAGACTGAACAAAACCATTGTCATCCCCCAGGAGCATACTATTTAAATAAACCATAGATAACACTAAGATTTAATCACGAGTATTTTCAGTAAAATTCAAGGACAGGTCACTGGTAGTAAACAAAATTGCATGGCCTGTGACCTGTCAGTGACTTTTACTATGCACCCCTGGCTAAAACTTGGGGAGTGTGAGAGATTCACTGGGGAAACCTTGAGGGCCCCAAGTGATAGTTTGGGGGCACCATGGATACTCATGAGAGACAGCCTGGGAATGGGATGAGGGGAGTTGTGGGATTGATTCCCTACCCATCTCCCGGATAGTGTCAACCCCAGTTCCTAGCTCCAAGTGCTGCCTCCCCCGGTCCTGAGCTGATGCCCCTCCCTAAGCTCCTGGTGCCGGAGATGGAGGAGCCTGTGATTGCCCCAGCAGTTGCCAGTGGGCCTAGCCTGTGGATTGCCCGAGCTGCTCAAGTGGCCCCAAAGCCAGGCATACCAGCTGCTGCAGAAGTCACAGAAAGTCATGGAATCTCTGACCTCTGCGAAACATGGAGCCTTAATCACAGTTATCCTACTTCATGTGATTGGCACTGTTACTAGTGCCATGCCAATACGCACACCTGTGCAACTATCCAAACAGCCCCTTTTAGACTTAGCA